GATTCAGGGGACCTCAAAACGTAAAAATCCGTCGAAAACTCGAGGTCGAAAAAAATCATGATTCCTATACTTTCCTTATATCTGTATACAGATAGGAAAGTAAAAAGAGGTTATCCGTAGATACAAGTTACCTTATACAGTATCAGTATGCACGGGAGAATTATATGCCCTGCTCCAAGCTCTTAAACAGATAGATAATTCAACTGGAATCAACTGGAAGAAATAGATTCACTATCCTCACGTCAACTACTTCAAAAAATATATTTATAACATCCCTTGGTATCCCTTATTAAAGAAGAAGTATATCGACTTCAACATACCAAAATTAAAATTATATATTTGGGTTCCATCGCATATTGGAATTGTCGGAAACGAAATAGCAGATCAGGACGCCAGAGGAGCTATCAGAGGTCAAAGTGCTCCAACAATGTGTAAATCCGTCGCCTCAGATTTAAGAAATATCTTTAGAAACACATTAATAACTAACTGGAATGAACAATGGCAAGCAATATCTTCTAAGCCAGTGGTCGCCAACCTGTCGATCGCGAGCTACCGGTAGCTCGCATAGGCAATTCTGGTAGCTCTCACAACGATTTTAATTTAAAAAATACAAACTGCAAAAATCAGAGAAGCTTCTGAAAATTCCACAAAAAATCTAATTGTCATAATATTAAACATAAACAGCGGCAACGTTGCGGTGAGCGATCTGCCGCTAACGCCATCAAGCTAGAATCGGCTAGAACCGACCAGCTGGACCAGCGCGTTAGTGTTCGAGAACGATCAGGATTGCTTTGAACGGGATAAATAAGCACGGCGCGGCGACATTGCACTTAGTTTAAAACTGAACCGTAACCAACGTCCAGCGGTTGGGTTAGTAGAGAACAACAAAAAATAATATTATGGCAAGCAGTTGTAAGAAGGTAAAGACATACCACTTTCATTCGGAATGGGAAGAACAATACTTTTTTACAGAAGTTAAAGATAAAAATGTGTGTTTGTTATGTAATACTTCGGTCTCCGTTGCTAAAAAAGGAAATATTGAGAGACATCATAAAACTGTACATTCTAATTTTGAAAAATCATTCCCACTACATTCTGCCGCCAGAAAGGAGAAACTGAAACAGTTAAAAAAGCAGTTAATCGGACAACAATCAATATTTTTAAGAACAGTCGACAAAAATAAGGCTGCAACTAAAGCATCGTACCGTGTGTCCCAGATAAAACAGGCGTTTTTAGAAGCTGCTGATTCGTTATTTGCCAACTTTAGAAATAAAGACGAGACGGTTTCTGCTATAAAATCTATGCAACTTTCTGCTAATACAGTAATGAGACGTGTAGAAGTAATGAGCAATGATATTTTTTTACAGTTAAGAACTGACTTAGATAACTGTGTTTATTTTTCACTTCAACTGGATGAATCAACAGATGTCGTTGACACTGCCCAGATGGACGTGTTCGTCAGGATGGTTTTTAGTGATTTTACGATTAAAGAAGATCTTTTGAAGTTTATTCCATTGAAAGGACACATTACTGAATAAGAGTTGTTTTCTCGTTTAAAAAATATTATTTCTTCCGAGAAAATTCCAATATCGAAAATGGTAGGCTTGACAACCGATGGCGCTCTAGCTATGGTGAGTTGTGATAAGGGCCTGGCGGCGTTATGTCGTAAAGATGAAACTTTTCCGCAATTTCTCTGTTACCACTGCATTATCCATCAGCAAGCACATGTGGAAATTTCCTGAAACTAAACAACGTTATGAAACTGGTGGTAAAAATTGTGAACAAGATTAGAGCTCAAGCGTTACAAAGAAGATTATTCAAAACTTTGGCCGATGAAGTTGACTGTCAATACGGGGACCTACTCCTTCACTTTGAAGTCCGATGGTTAAGTAGAGGACGGGTGCTGAAACGTTTTAATGATGTCCTATCTGGCATAGTTCAATTTTTCAAACAACGCCATGAACCGACTCCGGAACTAGAAAAGTCAATCTGGCCTAGAGATTTTGGTTTTCTCGTGGACATTACAGAGAAATTAAACGAACTTAATTTGCAGCTTCAGGGGAGAGACAAAAAACTAGCGGAAATGATTTCTGAAATAAAAGCATTTATCAAAAAGCTGGAGTTTTGGAAATAAAACCTAATTAACAGCGATGTCAAGCATTTTCCTATTCTTTCAGAAAAAAATATCTCAAAATCCATTACAACTTTATGACAGCAAATATCATGTAGAAATAGTTTCTACCCTGAAGAATAACTTCAAAAATCGTTTTAAGGATTTCAACGAAATGGCTTTAGTAGCGCAGTTTGTTGTTTCACCCTTTATGGAAATTGATATCCAACAGTTTGCAACTTGTGTTATGCAGAACTTTGGCGAAGACATCGCTGCAACAAAAATGGAAGTAATTGAGTTTCAAAATGATTTAGCCTTAAAATCGTTAGTCTCAAGTACCAAATGTATCTGGCCTATTGTAAGTAAAGACAAATATTCAGTTCTATGCCATGTTGCCTTGAAAGTGAAAGCATTATTCAGTTCAACCTATTTGTGTGAATTTTCTTTTTCCAATATGAAGTTTATTAAGAACAAATATCGCAATCGACTTACAGATGAACATTTGGATAATTGTATTCGAATGGCTGTATCAAATTATAATGCAAACATTAAAAATATTTTCGATGAGTCTGAGTGTCAGCCTTCTCATTGAACGTGCTTTTTTATTTTTCAATGTTTATGTTCATGATAGTGCGTTACTTTTTTGTTATTATTAACTATTTTTAAATCTTACGTGACATGCCGTTGTGGTTGGATAAAAGTTTGTGTTTATTTTTCAGACACCTTCGTTTGGTAGGTAGGAATGTACGTACGTACGTACGTACTAGTAATATTAGTTATTTTGTTATTAGTTTATTATTAGTACCTATGTATTATGTATTACCAGTTAAATAGTAAAATAAATACATATAATAATAAATTAAGGTGATTACAGCACTCCCTTATAATTTTCGGACAAGGATATCTCAAAAAGTAATTTATTTAGAAAATTTAAATTTGGGCAAAATAAATTAGGCAATAATATCAAAAATACGCATATTTTTTAAAGTTTTAATTCCTTTGAGTTTACGATAAAAAAAATCGAAGGGCTTTAAATTTTGAAATATCATAATGAAAATAAATGCATTCCTAGACAGTAGTATTCTTAATATAATCCCCAAATTTAAGCTCTTAATCTCTTGTTAATGATTTTTTAAAATTCGCCGAAATTAGTGGCTAAAACGCCTCGTTAAGTGCTTCTTTCTAGTGTAACGCGTATGTAACTATCGTATCGTACACTCTGAGTCATCACTAGTTTCTTGCAACGATTTACACCAGTTTAAACCAGAAAATAGCACTTAACAAGGCGTTTTAGCCACCAATTTCGGCGAATTTTAAAAAATCATTTACAAAAGATTAAGAGCTTAAATTTAGGGATTATATTAAGAATAGTGCTCTTGAGAAATGCATTTATTTTCATTATGATATTTCAAAATTTAAAGATCTTTGATTTTTTTTATCGGAAACCGAAAGGAATTAAAACTTTAAAATATATGCATATTTTAGATATTATTGCCTAATATATTATGCCAAAATTTAAATTTTTTAAAAAAATTACTTTTTGAGATATCCTTGTCCGAAAATTATAAGGGGGTGCTGTAATCACCTTAACTGTGGATTATTTCATTTACGTTGCGTTACGTGGCTTCCATGTGGGTAGCTCGCTGTTTATTCCAAAATTAACAAAGTAGCTCAACACATTGAGAGGTTGGCGACCACTGTTCCTATCTGCAGTGAATCTATTACACAAACTGTAAATAAATGTATCAAAAATGTATTATTAAATTACTGTATACGCTCATGACCTTTTAGGTTAATGCGTTCTTTTTAAATAAAAAAAATAAATAAATATACTATATCTAATTTAAATTAGGCGAGCAACAAAGCTGTCAAGTTTTCTGCTTGGCGATCGACAAAGCTGTCACTGTCAGTTCTCAGAAAACGTCAACTTTGCGGTTGAATTTCGAAGGGCAAAAAAAAATTTATTACAATTAATAAAACAATCATTAATAATGAAGGATGTAAAATTTACAATAAATGCTGATGTGCCTTCCCTTTTCTTCAATACACATATACGCAAACGAAATATTTCAATTTCAAACGATTTTTCAAAGATATCAAACTGTATAATTTTTTGACAACATGAATCTTTCATTTGAATGCTTTTAAAATTTGCATTCAATTTAAAAAAAAATACATAATATAGTTTGCTTTTAATTTGACTAAAATTTACCGTATTGATGTGATATACCGGGTGTTCAAATTAAAGTGTTACAGTTAAATACCGCCGAAAATATGCATTTTAGAAAAAAGTGTCTGACAAAATTTTTACAGTTTTTTGGGGGAAACATTTTGGCTAAATTAATTTTTTTACAGCTGACCATAATATGGCCATATCGAGGTGGACTTTGGTTTTTTAAATGGGAATCCTATTTTTTTTTTATATATTCTTAAAGTACATAAAAAATAAGAAACTTTTGATGAAAATATTTTTTTTATTGGACTTTTACTTTTTGAGTAACAGAGCTTCTTGAAAATTTTGCTGGACGAAAAAAAAGTTGGCTATATTATGGTTAGCTATAAAAAACGATTTTAGCCAAAATTTTTTCCCCACAAAACTATAAAACTTTCGTCTGAAACGTTGTTTTTTATAAAAGGCGGTATATAGCTGTAACACTTTAATTTGAACACCCGGTATATTGTGAACAAACGAAATCAATTTAATGAAAACCTCACCTTTTAAGGCGGGTATTTATTTACGTTTAGACTAGATCACTATTATTTGTTAACCCTGTGTATATGGCACCCCAGAATGTTTTAAATTTTGCGCAGAGCTCCCGCGTTTATAGATAGAGAATCAATACACACTTCAACGTAGACGGAGATTTGGAAATATAACCAGTCTTATCAAATTTAGTGCTAAAATAACTTGTTTTGATTGTGATAATTTTCTAATCGGTTTTTCCCAAATGTCACAAATAAGACAGAATTTCCACAAAGACTGTGAAGATGCAATTAACAAACAAATTAATATCGAATTGAATGCTAGTTACGTTTATATGGCAATGGTAAATATTACTATATTTAGTTACCTATAGGTAAACATCAAAATAAACTATGTACATTGATAGGTATTACTTGAAATATAACTATGATTTTTGCGTCACAATACCAAAATATCAAAAATAAACATGTTATTTTTAAACCTACAAATAATATAAAAAAGTTTTAGAAATATACGGGATGTTAGTTAAAAGTTATGGCATTTTATTGGTTTGTCCACTAGATTATTTTTATGTGTATACAAACTGTATCTACCATAACTCCAGAAATGTTATGTAATGTGCGAAGAGTATTTGAAGATTGATTGTATCATTATTTGCAAACCAATTAAAGTTTCAACACCGAATAAAATAATTTGTTATTGATATGATAACAATTCCATATATTGGTTTGTCATTAAAATAAAATTATATAATATACAGGGTGTTCCATTAAAAAACGTATGGTTGAGCCACTGAGAGAAAATGGATGGTGAAAGTTACGAGTATACATAAGCAAAAACACGTCTCACTTCATATGATTTTTGATTTATGTTATTTTTGTATTTTTCCATAAAAGCCTTTAATAGCTATGAATGTAACCAGTTACCAAATGCCTTGTTTTATGTAACAAGATAGAGTATATCCCAAAAACGTCAGCGCAGTAAAAGCTGCGCGTCTTTTTTCGTCCAGTGAGTATCAATACTGCTAGTATACTTATACTGGGCTTTTCACTAGGAACGCAGCAGTGAAAATATTATCTTTCGTTACATCTTGTATCCAGACACCTATCTTCGTTCGACAGACTACAATTCTTATGTCATGTTTCTCTCTCTATTCAATAATCCCTGTGCTGATGCTGGACTGAATGTTTGATCCCACCTGTACTGCTACTGCAATCTTAAAAAACTATACCAATTTTAGGCTTATCATTTTCAACGAGACGACATAGCTCTTATGGGGTTCCATAAATATTTTAAAGAGGCTTCCGAAGAGGAAAGGGAACATGCTTATCGTTTCATGGAATACATGAATAAAAGAGGAGGACGTGTAGTTTTTACTGATATAACTGCACCTACAAAACAAGAATGGTCAACGCCTGTTGAAGCTATGGTGGATGCTCTTCATTTAGAAAAAGAAGTTAATGATGTAAGTTTAATATTTTCTGTATTAAAATTTATTTGAAATAGGAAAATTATTAAAAGTTAAAATGCCCTTTTGAAAATGGAAATGTTATGGTAACAGTGTTGCCAGTCTTGTACTAGATTTAGTACATTATCTAAGAATCTGGTACTTTAGTACGAATTCCTTTAATGAACCAAACCGTCAGTAAAAGTAGAATTCGACTGGTATATTTTTATAGAATATGGTTCATTTTTTAGACAAATCAGGTACATAACAAAAACATATTCTGGCAATACTGTATTGCACCTATTCACATCTCTCTAAATATAATAAATTGCCCTGATGGACTATGCACTGAATAAATATATGAAACTCTTAACAGTCTTAACCACCTGCTTTTTGACTGTTCAATATAGGTGTAAATATAGTTATGAAATTCAAATCTCCTGCTTTACGGGACATATATTCATTTAAAATAACTTCTAAAGAATTATCTAATAAATAATTATATTCGAAAAGTTTAGGAAAACAAAATTAACTAATAAATTGTTTCAGCACTTACTTCAATTGCATAATGTTGGTTCAGGACACATGGACGTCAACCTGTGCGATTTTCTAGAAACGCATTATCTCCAAGAACAGGTAGATGCAATTAAAGAAATTGGGGATCATGTCACAAATTTGAAGAGGGTTGGAGAAGGACTTGGAACCTACATGTTTGATAGAAGATTGGCAGAAGACACTAAATAATTATCGTCTTTAGTAATTTTGTAGTCAATAATTGTCAATTTTAATCATAATTTGTACTTTATATATTAGCTGGCTATTAAAACTTTTGTAAAAAAGTTTTTATACCGATGGATATTATTAGGCAGTGATAATGTTGCGTAAGGTGCTAAATTTGTTACTTTAAGAATAATTGATTACACGTAAAAATTGTATTCTAAATATTAATAACCACTGTAACAAATTGGAAAAAAGTTAATAAAACATCTTTAATTTGGATATTTTTATGGTTAGATACAAAATTTAGAAATGTTGGCAAAAGTAAAAATCAGTAGATATGTTCAACATAAATACCAATACATTTAAGGTATTATCGTTGTGCCGCTGCGGGCCGAGCTCGAATAAATGGACTGTATATAAAACGATTGGGGAAATAATGTAATTTATTATATTATCCGAAACATGACGTGGCATTAGTAAAAACTCATTGACAAACAACAATAACAAAAATAACATGAAACTAAGGCTTATACACATGGGTGTAGAAACTTTTATTTAACGACAGGCATCGAACACTCGTCTAATATTTGTTGTGATATATGTTACAACCCCATTAAAAAAATAAAAGACCTAACTAACTTACTTCTTAAATATTTTACCTCTTTAATAGATGAACTTCAAAACATTTAAACGCCACTACAGAATTAACATAGCTTGTCAAAAGCTCTTATAAAAGTCTTGTAATATGTTAAAGGCCCTCCCGCATTCAAAATTAGGCATATGCCCCCGCAACCCCTAGAATTTTTACTCCAAAGTTAAAATGTCCCTTTTGAACGACTTAATGTACTTGGGATCTAATTAAACCTAAGAAAAAATAATAACGACATTGATTGTGATAAATTCAATTATTTTTTTAGTTCTATCGCCAATAAAGTAAATCAAACCCTATCATTAACAACTGGTCCTCCTCTGAGTATCTTAACAAAAAATATTGAAATTTTGAGTACCATACATGTACCATTGGATGTGCCATTTATGGGACCTTTTAAAACATATTATTGTCAAGAAATTGAAAACTGGTTAAAAGCTAACCCAGGAAGAACATTTTCACCCTACCAGATTGCAGGTTTGTTAGGAAAAGCATATTCAAGAACTGCGTCGATGGAAATTTCCATAAACAGATTGAGAACATGTGGCATTATGCCTTTTAATAGAAATATTTTTCGGGACCATGATTTTTCCATTCATGAGAAATTGGAAACTGCTGTTGAAACTGAAAATATTAACCCAGAAAATAGACCCCCAAATGATATTATCGAAGCAATGACCAAATCTGAACCCATTGTTTAAAAACCTGAACCAAAAATTATTGTTTTACAAAATATTATTTGTAATAAACCAAATACAGAACCTTCGGTTCCTATTGCTAATAGAGAAAAGCAAACTAATTTTGTAAAACCAGCTGACATACATCCATTTCCAGTATTACCTGGTCCTTCAGGAGTAAAACAGAAAAACTCTGATGCCGTCGCCTTAGTTGTTGGTTCACCCTGCAAAACAGATCTTGTGGAATCACAAAGTCCAAAAACATTGGAAAAGTTTAAGAAGAATTTAAACTTTCAATCAAAATCATCTGAAAAAATTAAGAAAAATTACACTTCTCAAAAGAAAAACCAAAAAGTTGTTTCCTCGGATTCCTGGCAATTAAAAGAGGAAGTCCAATATGCGGATTCGGAAGATGATATGGATCCAGAAGAAGAAGAAGATGTGGATTGTCCCTTCTGCTTGGAATCATTTTCTTCAGATAAAACAGGAGAAAAATGGGCAAAGTGTTGCAAGTGTTACAGATGGTTACATGAAGCATGTCCTGATGTTGAAGGCAAAAAAAATTACATCTGTGACTTTTGTATGGATAATTGTATGGATAAGCTGTAAAGTGGATTTTTTTTTGTTCTGTATTTTCCTCAATAAAATTTTGAATAAAAAAATGGTTTCCTAATATTGGATAACCTATCCAATAGTAGACTACTATTTTCTAAATTGACAAAATCAGTAATTTTTCAAAAATATTTAATTACTTCTTAAAATAATTTTTTATTCTATTGCCGACCATCTTAACTGATAATGGGTCATATGATTGAACGTTTACGTTATCCGTTAGGCTCAGTTTTAACAGTAATTAGGCAAGTTCGTATGATGAAAAACGGTTTCCAATACATAACTGTTATTTTCCGCATATTATGTTCTAATTTAACAGTTTTTCATCATACAAACTTGCCTTGTTACTGTTAAAACTTGGCCTAACATGTACGTTACGGATAACGTAAACGTTCAATCATAGCACCCAATATATAGTTATCCTATAACTCCATTAAACTAGCGCAAATATAGGAATTTTTTTTGATATAATTTAACAGTTTAAAAAAGTATCCAATATTAGGCGATTCTCCTCTATCTCTTTTTTAATTATCTCAACAACTTTTGTATCAAATTTTGGAATAGTTTATTCTTTACACAAGGTTGGAATGGAAATTCGATACGCGAACGTATGCGAGACATAGTAGGAGTTAAATATAGTGAAATTAAATATTGAACCAAATGAAATATTTATTCTCATTTATGTTTTTAACTTACTTGCATAATGTGGCAGTTCAGGAGAAATATTATCATATTCCATATCAGAATCGTTATATTCACTCATTTTTCAATTTTAGTTCAACTCAACAAACGCCGCTTATCTTTATTCAGGCAAATTCAAGCTACATGTGTGTGTGTGTGTGTGTGTGTGTGTGTGTGTGTGTGTGTGTGTGTGTGTGTGTGTGTGTGTGTGTGTGTGTGTGTGTGTGTGTGTGTGTGTGTGTGTGTGTGTGTGTGTGTGTGTGTGTGTGTGTGTGTGATGTGTGTGTGTGTGTGTGTGTGTGTGTGTGTTGAGTGTGTGTGTGTGTGTGTGTGTGTGTGTGTGTGTGTGTGTGTGTGTGTGTGTGTGTGTGTGTGTGTGTGTGTGTGTGTGTGTGTGTGTGTGTGTGTGTGTGTGTGTGTGTGTGTGTGTGTGTGTGTGTGTGTGTGTGTGTGTGTGTGTGTGTGTGTGTGTGTGTGTGTGTGTGTGTGTGTGTGTGTGTGTGTGTGTGTGTGTGTGTGTGTGTGTGTGTGTGTGTGTGTGTGTGTGTGTGTGTGTGTGTGTGTGTGTGTGTGTGTGTGTGTGTGTGTGTGTGTGTGTGTGTGTGTGTGTGTGTGTGTGTGTGTGTGTGTGTGTGTGTGTGTGTGTGTGTGTGTGTGTGTGTGTGTGTGTGTGTGTGTGTGTGTGTGTGTGTGTGTGTGTGTGTGTGTGTGTGTGTGTGTGTGTGTGTGTGTGTGTGTGTGTGTGTGTGTGTGTGTGTGTGTGTGTGTGTGTGTGTGTGTGTGTGTGTGTGTGTGTGTGTGTGTGTGTGTGTGTGTGTGTGTGTGTGTGTGTGTGTGTGTGTGTGTGTGTGTGTGTGTGTGTGTGTGTGTGTGTGTGTGTGTGTGTGTGTGTGTGTGTGTGTGTGTGTGTGTGTGTGTGTGTGTGTGTGTGTGTGTGTGTGTGTGTGTGTGTGTGTGTGTGTGTGTGTGTGTGTGTGTGTGTGTGTGTGTGTGTGTGTGTGTGTGTGTGTGTGTGTGTGTGTGTGTGTGTGTGTGTGTGTGTGTGTGTGTGTGTGTGTGTGTGTGTGTGTGTGTGTGTGTGTGTGTGTGTGTGTGTGTGTGTGTGTGTGTGTGTGTGTGTGTGTGTGTGTGTGTGTGTGTGTGTGTGTGTGTGTGTGTGTGTGTGTGTGTGTGTGTGTGTGTGTGTGTGTGTGTGTGTGTGTGTGTGTGTGTGTGTGTGTGTGTGTGTGTGTGTGTGTGTGTGTGTGTGTGTGTGTGTGTGTGTGTGTGTGTGTGTGTGTGTGTGTGTGTGTGTGTGTGTGTGTGTATAACGCATAACTCATGAACCGATACACATAAAAACACCAAATTTTAAACTTAAGCTTTGTTTCAGCGTCCAATGAGCTGATTAGATTTTGGGCAGAGTCGGAACATCTGGGGGGGTACTTTATGGCAGGCCGTTTTTATATTTTATGGAATATATCTGTTATTTATGTTTGGAGAAGAAAATTGTTCAAATAAAAGTTACTTCTAATATTATTATCTATAATTTTTGTTTTATGTCAAAATTTCCTGAAATGGTCCGTATTCGAGAAATTTGACAAAATGTGCAAAATTCTGATTTTTATGAAAATTGTTGAACTAAAAGTTGTTTGCGATATCGATCTCTATAATTTTTGTTTTTTACATGATTTTTCTAAAATGGAGCGTAATGGAAAAGTGCTAAATTTAAATTTTTCAGTATTTTTCGTTTTCAATGAATATCTATAGAAAAATGTTTCGAGGTAAATGTATGTGTAAAATGTATATATTTAGTTTATCCTCTAAACATTTATAGAGATGCTGCAATAGGTTGTACAAAATAACCGGAAAATGCCTATAATAACTAGATAGGAAAGTCATGTGTTGGACACATCAGATTTTTTTCTCTGTTATTATACCTAGATTAGATTTTAGATTACAAGAAGTTGTTTCTCGTTGTCAACCCCGACCTTTTCAGATCTATTGTGGGACTCTGTTTGTTTTAGAAAATGTCGTCTAGCTTGGTCTTTTTTATTAGACTTAGTAGCTTTGACAGTGGCTCCCGCATGTAGTTTGGCTTTTCTTCGCCTAATGTTAAAAACCTCATTCTAGCTAGGTCTTCACATTGGCACAGGACGTGAACTGGCGTTTCTGTTAAAATTTGATTGTTATTCAAAATTCGCTAAATTAAAAAGACGTTTGTTCTTTTAATACCATTGACAGCTCTTATTCCAAAAAATACAAAAGTAAAATTAAAAAAAACAACAGAAAAATAAAACAACCTAAAATTAATAATGTCTTTATTGTGATTGAATATAATACTCGTGTTCCCTTGAGGGTGGAACGGCATTAACAATTTCCTCTTCTTCTTAACAGAATCTGCACAAAGTTTCAGCTTTTGCTGGATCGATGACACTCATATGCCTTCTAAGGCAAAAGTGTCCAGTAAGAAGACCTACTGTTATCCTAACGATTTGACGCTTTTGATCCCGTAAGTCTTTCGTAAACTTAGCCAATGATTCCTTGATGAACTGTTTGGCTAGTCTCAGTCTTGGATATTTATTCCACCATTCTTAAGACTCTTTTTGCATTGGTTTTTTGATGGATGTCTTG